CCCCTCCCGCGCAAAGCGCAGAAGCTTCGACGTTTCTTTAAATTATTAGAGAAAGAAGACGATTCGTTGTATTGCTCTCGAAAATAATCCTCGTGTGAATTTATTTTCCCCCTCCCGCGCGAAGCGCGGAAGCTTCGATGTTTCATTAAGTTCCTAGAGAGAGAAGACGATTCGTTGTACCGTTATGACTTTTAATCCTCGTCTCAATTTAGTCATCCCCCTCCCGCGCAAAGCGCAGAAGCTTCGACGTTTCATTAAATTATTAGAGAAAAAAGACGATTCGTTGTACCGCTTTCGAAAATAATCCTCGTCTGAATTTATTTTCCCCCTCCCGCGCGAAGAGCGGAAGCTTTTACGTTTCATTAAATCATTAGCGAAAGAAGACGATTCGTTGTACCGTTATGACTTTTAATCCTCGTCTAAATTCAGTTTCCCCCTCTCGCGCGAAGCGCGGAAGCTTTTACGTTTCATTAAATCATTAGAGAAAGAAGACGATTCGTTGTACCGCTCTCGAAAATAATCCTCGTCTGAATTTAGTTTCCCCCTCCCGCGCGAAGCGCGGAAGCTTTTAAGTTTCATTAAATCATTAGCGAAAGAAGACGATTCGTTGTACCGTTATGACTTTTAATCCTCGTCTCAATTCAGTTATCCCCCCTCCCGCGCAAAGCGCAGAAGCTTCGACGTTTCTTTAAATTATTAGAGAAAGAAGACGATTCGTTGTATTGCTCTCGAAAATAATCCTCGTCTGAATTTATTTTCCCCCTCCCGCGCGAAGCGCGGAAGCTTTTACGTTTCATTAAATCATTAGCGAAAGAAGACGATTCGTTGTACCGTTATGACTTTTAATCCTCGTCTAAATTCAGTTTCCCCCTTTCGCGCGAGGCGCGGAAGCTTTTACGTTTCATTAAATCATTAGAAAAAGAAGACGATTCGTTGTACCGTTCTCGACTCTTAATCCTTGTCTAAATTCAGTTCCCCCTCCCCCTCTCGCGCGAAACGCGGAAGCTTTTACGTTTCATTAAATCATTAGAGAAAGAAGTCGATTCGTTGTACCGTTCTCGACTCTTTATCCTTGTATAAATTCAGTTCCCCCCCCCCTTCCCGCGCGAAGCGCGTTTAAGCTTCGATGTTTCATTCAATTATTAGAGTAAGAAGACAATTCGTTGTACCGCTCTCGAAAATAATCCTCGTGTGAATTTAGTGTCCCCCTCCCGCGCGAAGCGCGGAAGCTTCGATGTTTCATTAAGTTCCTAGATAGAGAAGACGATTCGTTGTACCGTTATGACTTTTAATCCTCGTCTCAATTCAGTCATCCCCCCTCCCGCGCAAAGCGCAGAAGCTTCGACGTTTCATTAAATTATTAGAGAAAGAAGACGATTCGTTGTACCGCTCTCGAAAATAATCCTCGACTGAATTTATTTTCCCCCTCCCGCGCGAAGCGCGTAAGCGTTTACGTTTCATTAAATCATTAGCGAAAGAAGACGATTCGTTGTACCGTTATGACTTTTAATCCTCGTATAAATTCAGTTTCCCCCTTTCGCGCGAAGCACCGAAGCTTTTACGTTTCTTTAAATCATTAGAGAAAAAAGACGATTCGTTGTACCGCTCTCGAAAATAATCCTCGTCTGAATTTATTTTCCCCCTCCCGCGCGAAGCGCGGAAGCTTTTACGTTTCATTAAATCATTAGAGAAAGAAGACGATTCGTTGTACCGTTCTCGACTCTTAATCCTTGTCTAAATTCAGTTCCCCCTCCCGCGTGAAGAGCGGAAGCTTCGACGTTTCATTAAATCAATAGAGAAAGAAGACGATTCGTTGTACCGTTCTCGACTCTTAATCCTTGTATAAATTCAGTTCCCCCCTCTCCCGCGTGAAGCGCGGAAGCTTCGACGTTTTATTAAATTATTAGAGAAAGAAGACGATTCGTTGTACCGTTCTTGAATCTTAATCGTTGTCTGAATTTCAAAAATGTTCTTTGTCTACTCAGTTTACTTCCTACGTCCTTTTCCTTTTCACTCCTCTCTTTTTTTGGCCGGCGTTTTTTGGGGGACCACCCCACCGTTCCCCTGGCTACGCGCCTGCGGTAGAATGAACATATGTTGATACCTTGTCCGCCCCCGGAAGCTCAGGGGTTTAAGGCAACAATTAACTGTCAGATTAGCATTCAGGGGTCCGCCTTAGGGTCCTAGGCGGGGTCCGGGGGGCAGAACCCCGGAAGTTCAGGGGTTTTAGGCATTTTAATTACGGTAAGATGAGCATTATTTTGATACCTAATTGTGACACTGGCAGGTCACTAATTGGCGTGGGGAGCCCCCGGAAGCTTAAGGGTTTTATGCACTCAATTACGGTCAGATGAGTATCAAGGGGCCCGCCTTAGGCCTCTTGGTTCGGTCCAGGGGGCAGAGCCCCGGAAGCTCAGGGGTTTTAGGCGTTTAATTACGGTCAGATGAGCATTTTTTGATACCTTATTATTTTGTGATACTGGCAGGACACTATTTGGCGTGGGGTCCAGGGGGCAGAGCCCCCAGAAATCAGGGGTTTTAAGCATTAAATTACCGTCAGATGAGCATCTAAGGGCCCGCCATAGGGCCCTATGTGGAATCCAGGGGACAGAGCCCTCGGGGTTTTAGGCATTTAATCATGGTCAGATGAGTATATTTTGATACCTCATTATAATGTGACACCGGTAGTTAACTATTTATTCTTTCTTGCTCTCTTTCTTTCTATTTCTCTTTAATATACTTTTTCAAAAAAAGGAGGAGGGGGGGGGGGGGCTCGAGGATCCTGATCCCTGCTGTTCCGCGGGCCCTGACATGTAGGCATCTTAAGAAGCATTTTCTTGCCTCGCTGTAAATGTAGGAATTTGTCATTTTCCAACAAACGCATAAAACAGTATAATTTACTTAAAAGTGAGGAAAAATCTCGGAAAATATGTCATTTCAGCATTATTGTTAAACCACCGTTATGGAATTAGAAATTAACCACTAAGCAAGGACCATTTGCCCTCCCCCCGATCCCCAACTTGTTGGCGGGAAAATTGCAACTGATATCCCTCCTTTTTCTTCTTTTTTTCTTCCTCTTTTCCTTTTTTCCTTCCCTTTCCTTCCTTCATTTTTTTATTAGGGGGGGGGGGGGCGAGGCAACAGCCTGGGAGGCAAGTCCTTTGCCCCCCCTCCCCCATTCCCCGATCTCCTTCTTCCCTCTTTTCTTTTCTTCTTCCTTTCCTTTTTTCCCCTTTCTCTCCTCTTTCCCTTTCCCTTCTTTTCCTTCTCTATCTCTCCTTTTTGCGGGGGGGGGGGGGGGTCAAGGCCCGCTCGGTCCCCCTGTATCCGCGCCTGCATATATTTAGTGTTGCTAGGTAGGTCAAGCCATAATGTTTGTCCAACCTGGCAACAACTAATGTATGCAGTTCGGATTTTGTCTATTGAAATACTATTATTCTTATCAGGTGAATGAAATAATTTATATTGAGGCACTTCACAAAGACATTCAATTTCAATTTGGTTACATTACGAAAATGACCTTTGAAAACATAACTATAGAGCGTCATTGTCATGAAGTTCGCGATCGATGACTCGCTTGTTCGCCCACTGGCTGGCCTGCGAGAGGCCTGGTGAGTGGGCGTACATTAATTTCTTTTAAATAATTATTTAATATGCCTACAAATTAAAAGCTCCTGGACAATCCCCACCCCCCCCCCCAAAAAAAAAAAAGGAGTGTAAATAATTTTGTATTTTTATTTTGACTATTTTTAAACACCAAAAAAGAAACTTGGTTTGTTAGATTTGAGGATTGGCTAAAAAGGTGGCCATCAATTACGCGGACCTATCTAAAAAGACCACCTGTCTACAACAACTACTTTTTGTGTTTCCCTTGGGCGATCGCTATAGACAGGGTTGACCGTACAAAGATTAACCAATAACTGATAATCATTTGGAGGGGAAAAGGGTTGTTTTTTTTACATTTAACTTCCGCTTACTGCGTGTAAGGTGAAGGAGAAACTTTATTAAAATATAAATTTGACTTTATACATAACAAACAGTACAACGTATTTTTGAACTTTGCTCAAATGTCTGCAACAAACAAGAATAACAATCATATTAATGATGGCTGAACAGGGGAACAAAACAGAATACAATATATGCTGGGTATAATTACTTTGACAGTACGGTCCAATCCAGCCTTCATGGCATTGTCCATTACAAAGACCTCTCTCTGTCTCACAAGCCTCTGGAGCACAATGACATTGCTTAAGACAATCCAAACCAAAGGTTCCCCCTTCACACTCTGAAATAAATAAAACACAGTTCAAGTTTATACTGGAGACATCTGGTCAATGATTATTACTGATTACTAAAGGCAAAGATAACTTTTGCTCGGGTCTACTTCTACGCATGAAATGTACAATGGAACAAGCAGTTGGCACACACCCTTTTTCAGATTGTTAAACTTTCCCTCCATCAATAAAAACACTTTAAATGGAATACTTTGTCATGATATATTTTGGGTGAATCCAAACAATGAATACGATATATTAAACAAATATTTACGGCTAATTTTTTACGTCACTATTCAAATTAAAATACATGTACATGTTGCTCCTCGGTGTTCTTGAGATTGCACTATGCCCCTCGCTTTTGTCTACGGGCATTGTATAGTTACAACATCACGTTGGGCGAATAATCACCATAGTAACCATGCCCTCCAAAGAAGTCAATAGTTGTCTACTAGAATCCACCTCCAGAGTATACATTATACCAATGTATTTACTATCTCAGCACTATGTACATAATATATGGTTGATATAGCCAATGGACATACTGTACATGTACATGTATTTTTGAGCGTTCATAAATGGTACATAAAAACAAAATACCTGTGTGTCATTTAGCACACTGCACCATTCATGTATGTACATGTTGAATGTAGACTGGAGATAATAAATAGAAATTGATATGAAAAATTCAACACCCTTTATTAAAAAGTAGCATTTTACCTTGACATTGGACCCCGCCATTGCGTATTTTGTATCCTAGAGCACACTTCTGCTCAGGGCACTCTCCAGTCTGTTTATCACATGGTTCATCATTCAAGCAATGACATTTATCAGTGCATTGAGATCCATAGTAACCGGCTTCACATTCATCTGGAACTGAGGATGCCAAGAAAATATTTTAGAAATCACAATTTAGCAGGCACCAGCAAATAATATTTTTAGAAGAAGTCCACAACAATATGGTTGTTTCCATTACACAATTATTTTCCTTGTAACTAGTTTGAATTGTTTCCGAGCACTATATACCAACTTCAATTATGGCACATAATTCTAAATTTAACCGTGCCTTCACTAATAAGTTTATGTATTTGTAGAAGGCATTCTTGTCATCCATGAACATAATGAAAATGGAATACATTGGAGAAGTTGTCTCCAAAACATGCACAGCTTGATCTGGATATGTCTACAAAAATAAATATAATAACTTTAAATGAAAACTTTAACTACTGAGTTTCAGTAGGGTTGCAGGAGCAATCCGGTTCATATAGGCATAGGTGAACAAAAAATAAACAGGAAGTTTATTACAAAGCTGCAGTGTACATGTAAACATTCTGATTTCTCTTATTTGGGGAGAGCATTCATGTCATATCATTTGTTATCATTGTTGACCATGACTTACTTTGACAGTTCTCCCCAGACCAGCCAGTCTGACATCCACCTGTACATATTCCAGTATAGATATCACATGATGAACCACCGCCTGTGCAGTGACATGTCTGTGAACATCCTGGACCATATGTACCGACAGTACATACTGTAATAGAATTCAAAATACAAAATCAAGGTGGATAGATACAATACATACATCAGATGCAGAAAGGAAAATATTGTGCATGTTACAATAACCTCTTGTTCATTATCTTCTTCTTCTCCTTCTCCATCTCTTCTCCACTAAGTTGCCCCTGACCTCACTCATAAATCCAGCCACATTATGGTACGAGCTTTTTGATATTCCAAGAAAAATTATATATTTTTGAGAATTGCATATGTACGTGTATGATAACTTTTAGGCCTCCTAGATACATGTATTTTCACTATGAAAATTTGAGCACAATTAATATAAAAGACTTACGTGTGTTACATGTTAGACCATGGGCACCGACGTCACATGAACATCCATAAGGATCAGGCAGGCAAAAAAGAAGCCCATGACATTGTGTTGCAGCATCATTTTGATATGAACATTGAAACTCGCAGTTCAATCCATATCGATTTCCACCACCAACTCTACAAACTGAAACAAAAGAGTTGCATTGTTTAATTAACACCTAATAGACTTGCATAAGAAATAAAGATTTCATGAGATAAATTTCAAATATGGTTGCTTTTCCTTTGCAAACTACCGATGATGTCTAATGCTATTTAAAAACAATTTTTTTTACTACATTGAATAAAACCCTCCCATACCACGGAAAGCAAAGTTCGTCGATAATAAATATTAATGTTATTGAGATATTTATTTAGATATTATTTAGAAATTTCAAGAAACAAAAGCAAATCTTTTCCCCTGTTGTATATCACATGTTTGTTTCATTTTTGTTGGTATTGATTTACTTGGTGTACGGTGTATATGCATGTACCGCAGCGCTGGTGGAGCGGGTCACTTTACAAAGTCATGTTACGTTAGATAACAGACTGTTTAAAATACATGAAAGGTAATACATTATGAAAGATAAAAAATCTACTTGTTATAAACAAAATGATAAATAAAAAATTAACACTATTCTTGCAAACGATTCCTGGTGAAGAGTAACAAATATATATACAAACATTTCAAAAGACATGATGTATAATACTATTCTGATCTCTCTATCTCCTCGTCAAGAAGAAAAAATAAATATTTGAAATGAACATGTAAAATAGATGTATATTACTCTGTTCATTTTCCCATGGAATACGACAAGACAAATCTTCCTCGATTCATCTATAATTTAGATTTAAAAAAAAAATAAATCATTCCAAATGCAATTCTACAGGCCTACCGCTACTTACTTTCTAAACAATTCGTTCCCTTGAAGTTGTTAGGACAGATACATAGACCAGACTTGTCATCACAGACTCCACCATTGTAGCATTTATCACAGATACCATAACACTCAGGGTGACCCCACTTACCAGCAGGACATTCTAATATGAGATAGGGATAGTAATTTTTCAGAATCACGTTTTCATCAATATTGAAATATACAGGCGCGGATCCAGGGGGGGGCGAGCGGGCCTTGGCCCCCCCCCCCCCGCAAAAAAAAAAAAAAAAAAAGAGAGAGAGAAGAAAGGAAAAGAAGGGAAAGGGAAAGAGGAGAGAAAGGGAAAGAAAAAAGAGGAAGAAAAAAGAAAAGGGGAAAGAAGGAGATGGGGGGGGGGGGCGAACGAGCCTTGCCTCCCAGGCTGTTGACCCCCCCCCCCCCCCCCTAATAAAAAAAATAAGAGAGAAGGAAGGAAAGGGAAAGAAAAAAGGAAACGAGGAGATACTGGAGTACGGATAGGGGGGGGGGGGGGGCTTGGGGGAAATCAAATTCAAACATGGTTTATTTCTAATTCCACAACGGTGGATTACAAATAATGCTGTAATTACTTAATTTCCGAGATTTTTTCCTCACTTTTGAGTAAATTATACGTTTGTATGTGTTTGTTGGAAAATGACAAATTCCTAAATTTACAGCCAGGCAAGAAATATGATTCTTGAGATTCCTACATGTCAGGGCCCGAGGTACGGCAGGGATCGGGAGCCTCGAGCTCCCCCCCCCCCTCCTCCTACACTTTTTTTGGAAAAAGTATATTAAAGAGAAATAAAATAGAATGAGAGCAAGAAAAAGAGAATAGTTAACTGCCCGTATTAAAAAATAATGAGGCATCAAAATATGCTAATCTGAACTGGATTAAATGCCTAAAACCCCTAAGCTTCCAGGGGCTCTGCCCCCATGGACTCCACCTATAGGGCCCTACGGGGGCCCATAGATGCTTATCTGACGGTAATTTAATGCCTAAAACTCCTGATTTTGGGGGGCTCTGCCCCTGTACCCCCACGCCAATAGTGTCCTGCCAGTGTCACAAAATAATAAGGTATACAAAAAAATGCTCATCGGACCTTAGTTAAACGCCTAAAACCCCTGAGCTTCCGGGGCCGGCTCGGCCGTCTCGACCCCACCAGGGGCCCTAAGGCGGGCCCCTGAATGCTTATCTGACCGTAAGTTATTGCCTTAAACCCCTGAGCTTGCGGGGTCGGACAAGGTATCAAAATGTGTTTATCGGACCGCAGGCACGTAGCCAGGGGGGGGGGGGAGGCGTAGGAAGAAAAAGGAGCAGACAAAGGATATCTTTGAAATTCAGAATCAAGAACGGTACAGCAAATCGTCTTCTTTCTCTCTTAATCTTATGAAACGTCAAAGCTTCCGCGCTTTGCGCGCGGGAGGGGGGGGGGAACCTGAATTCAAACGAGGATTCAGAGGCGAGAACTATAATCGGGACTATAATACGAATCTTTAATGATTTAATGAAACATAAAAGCTTCGGCGCTTCGCGCGGGATAGAGGGGAAACTAAATTCCGACGTGGATTATTTTCGAGAACGGTACAACGAATCGTCTTCTTTCTCTAATGATTTAATGAAAATTAAAAGCTTCCGCGGGAGGGGGGGACCTGAATTCAGACAAGGAATAAGAGTCGAGAACGGTACAACGAATCGTCTTCTTTCTTTAATATTTTGATGAAATGTCAAAGCTTCCACGCTTCGCGCGGAAGGAGGAAAACCGAATTCAGACGAGGATTAAGAGTCGAGAACTGTACAACGAATCGTCTTGTTTCTCGAATGATTTAATGAAACGTAAAAGCTTCCGCGCTTCGCGCGGGAGGGGGAAAATCTAAATTCAGACGAGGATTATTTTCGAAAACGGTACAAACGAATCGTCTTCTTTCTCTAATGATTGAAAGAAACTTAAAAGCTTCCGCGCTTCGCGCGGGGGGGGGGGGGAACCTGAATCCAGACGAGGATTAAGAGTCGAAAACTGTACAACGAATCGTCTTGTTTCTCGAATGATTTAATGTAACGTAAAAGCTTCCGCGCTTCGCGCGGGAGGTGAAAACTTAATTCAGACGAGAATTTTTTTCGAAAACGGTACAACGAATCGTCTTCTTTCTCTAATAATTTAATGAAACGTCAAAGCTTCCGCGTTTCGCGGAGGAGGGAGGGGAAACTCGCCCCTCCCTGCACCGACCCCCCCCCCCGCATTACGTCACTGTTGGTCACCATTACGTACCAATATTTGGCTCGCAAAATTTCAAATTTGGGCCCCCCCCCCCTAAGAAATCCTGGATCCGCGCCTGGAAATATAAACAAATATGTAAAGATCATCATCCACACATAACTTATAATCCAATCAATCTAAAATCTTACATGCATCATAACAAACCTTATTATCTTGGAGAACAAAATTAATGACCCCTCTTAAAAAGCCCAGTCTGAAAAGCAGGAAAACACTTAAACATATACCTTTGACGATGAGTCTGTATAGTCCTCCTTTATTTTGAATCCTCTCGTTATTATAGTAGATCTCATAGATTCCTTGGTCTGATGCTTGGATTGGGTTTGGGAAGCTGATCTGAGTCTGCCCATCAAATAATGGTAGAACCTCACTTCCATCTTTCATCCAAGTAATCACGTTGTCACTCGCATCGGGATCATAACGTTTTGTCATGGTGATCATCACCCCAGTGTCATTCACATTGACTGTCTTTGTAAACAAATCATCACTTGATATGAATTTAGCTGTTAAAAGGGATGATAATAATAAATTAACCAAATAAAAAAATGTTAACCTTATCAAATACATTACATGTAGCACCTACAATATATGACATGTACAATGTACACTGTAGCCACTTACTCACTAAAGGAAACCGTCAATTTGTATAAGCATGGAGCTAAGGTATAAAGCTTGCAATATTCACTTGCATATTGGAATAAATCTGTTCCTTTTGATATTTTTTAATAACAAGTTTTGGTAATTTTCAATATTAGAACATGGCAACTAGTCTGGTGAATGTCATAATCTGTTTGGACTTTCGTTTGATGATGTTAATGTTAAAGTAAACAACATCAACACAAATATTTATTTAAACATATTTGTGGCTTACACCCAGTAAATAAGATCGATTGATCGAGCTGTATTGAAAAACAAGTCAGAACACATCTTGGAACCAGCGGGACTTGAACCTGCATCTACTGCTTGCCGGGCAGTGATGGCCTGGTGGTAGAGTCGCTGCTCGGCAAGCAGTAGATGCAGGTTCAAGTCCCGCTGGTTCCAAGATTTTTTCTGACTTTTTTTTCTTTTCAATACAGATCGATCAATCGATCTTATTTACTGGGTTTAAGCCTCAAATATGTTTAAATAATTGGAATTTCTGCCAGGAAGCATTACATTTATAAAAATTATTGTTCCCATGCCATGAGCCATAATGCATGGCCGTACAGAGGGGCTTTTTAAAATTGAAAATAAGGAAATCCTGTACTTATTTATAATGAATGGAATATTAATTTTACCATCAATTCGTTGGAAAAATGTAGTAACCCTTGTAACATCTCGATCAGGTTTAGAAGCCTCACAGTAGAAAGGACCGAAACCATCTCTATCCCATCCATCTCCTGTAGGGAATATGACCCGTCTGACCAATGGATATACAGGTGAGTGTCGCACATCTGCTGGTGGTGATATGTCTGTTGTTACGGGTGCTGATCGACCAAATGATAGTGTAGCGTCTGTATCTGGTTCACTGCTCCAACATTGATACTGACCACTAGATGTACCTACATCGGTGTATTTTGCGGTCAGCACTGTGATATGAACAACCTCACCTGCAACATAAAAATACACAGAAATTCACTGTTGCTGGATACATTCAACTTTAGAGTACATCTTTCTCCACGCATTCAGAAACTGCATTTGAAAGACTCAGTTATAATCAAAGAAGCGTACTGCTGCATTAAGATGCATCCAGAATGCAAATATACATAGCTATTGAAATCATAATTTTATTGCAGATTTGTAGAAGCACATCAGTAGTACTTGGAGCTGGAAAATAACATAACTGCCATTGAGATATTACACTTGTTAATACACCAAGTTTAGTATCATAAATGTATGTGTATATACACTGGGAAATACATGTT